CTCATGGTACAGCACTTTGGGTCTGGTAAGCCCTCTTTTTTTTTCTACCACTTGAAGAAATTATACGCATAGAACAGCATTGTCCAGCAGAACTTTCTGCCGTGATGAAATGCCATAAGCTGCCCAGTACAGTAGCCACTAGCCAGATGTTGCTACTGAGCACTTGAAATGCAGGTAGTGTGATGGATGAACTGAAATTTTCATTTTATTTATTTTAATTAATTTGAATTTAAATAGCCACATGTATTTAATGGCCACTATATAGGACAGTGAAGATCTAGAATGCATGCTAAAATAGCTAGAGCAGTGGGCAAGTATGATCACTGTGTCTTCATGCCTCTTTCTCAAGTTATTCAACTCTTACCCATAGTAGGATAGAAGTCTCATTTTCTCCGTGAAACTTTCACTGATCCACATGGATGTCTTTCTTCTCTGAACTCCTAAACACTTAACTATTTCATAATGGAATTTAGTGTACAGTAGTTTAATTTTAATGTATGTGAGTTTTAGCATAAAATAAATAAAAAATACTACCAGCTTCTATTCATTGAAAGCTTATAGTGCTAAACACTTTACAAATTTTATTTCATCTTCTTAATAGGCCCACAATATAAAGTATGTATTATAATCTCTATTTTACTATGAGAAAATTATGGCTCAGAGCGATTATGTGACCTGCTTGGGTGAAACAGGTAATAAGTAGCAGAGCTCAAAGTTGGAACTAGGTTCATGACTCCAGTCTACACAGTAATAAGCAGGATCATTTGATACTTTGGCTTAATTTGATCATTGGAAGCCATCATAACAAACCTAAGTCTGCTTTAGAAAATGACTTTGTATCAATTACAGCTTAATGGAAATAACATATTATGATTCAATTTAAATTTTGAATATTTCCTTTATAGCGAAAGATTATTTTAAAGTTCTTCCATCATAGACTAAGACATATCACCTTCTTAAAGACCAATTACTCCATCTAGTGGAACCAATGGAAATACCATACCCACCAAGTATTTAAAAGAGATTCCCAGCAGGAGCTGTACTTTCTCTAGGGGATCTCTTGGAAATTAGTGGAAATATATTTTGGTTATTACAAAGAATGGGGGTTTTCTTGGCTTTCATTAGATAGGATCAGGAAGGCATGAAATCCTCATCAACAAAATATTCCCACTTCCAAAGGGGAAAACCCACTTGTATTTAGTTATCTGAGCTTGAAATTTAACATTATTTTACATATAAAAACAAAAAGTTTACACTGTTTTACTACTCAATGAATTTTCCAGGAAGAAGATTATGGCATTTCACCTAATTTCACCAGTTGTAAAACACAGTATTATTTAAATATCACCACGAAAAAAACAACATTCCCAATTAAACTAAGATGCAATGGCTCTGGCCAATGTGGTTCCGTTGGTAGGATGTCGTTCTGTGCACCAAAGGTTGCCAGTTTGATTTCTGCTCAGGGCACATGCCTGGGGTTCAGGCTGGAGCCCCAGTAGGGGGTGTGGGGGAGTCAATCAATCTATGTATCTCTCTCACTGAGATGTTTCTCCCTTTTTCTCCCCCCTCACCTCCTCCCTGCCTCCCACTCTCTCTAGGATCAATGGAAAAAATATCCTTGGGTGAGGATTAAAAAAAAAAAAAAAAAAAAAAAGGCCTAACATACACCTATCTGCTTTCCCCTCTCAATCCTTGCTTCTCACTTGCCCTTCTCTTACTTAAAAGTGAGCAGAACCTAGGCTCACCATCATCTACAATGAAGAGTTATATATAATCACAATCACTTCTCTACTGTGACTTTCAGATAATTAAAAATAGAAAAAAAATATTTTTCCTCTCTTTTTGTATAAAGTCAATCAAATATTTCACATCACTGCTTTTCCAGTGATTGAAGGACAGTAAGAGAAGGAAGAATTTCTCCAAAGTGTCTCAATACCATTTGGAGGAATTATACTCACCAGAGTCCTGATTACATTTACATGTACCATCTATCACCTGAGTTTTCCCTAACATTACCAGTTAAGCATTCATTTTCCCAATAAGCAGTAACAGAGAAAATATCAGGGTAACACTATGTAGACAGCATAATGGTGACTTTGACAAATAAAGACATCTCTGGGCTGGTCACAGCCTGGCACTGTCTTCTGCTTAAAAATAGAAGGCATATTAGAGTAAAAAAGTTTTCACTTCAGGCCAAATTAAATTATTCCAGTTCCAAGACTAAGAATAATTTCATGGCAATTAGTAGTGGGCCTTGTGGAAAATTCCATTATTCATTCCTTTTTTAAAAATATGCTTTTATTGATTTTAGAGCGACAGGAAGGGAGAGGGAAAGATAGAAACATCAGGAGAGACAAACATCCACTGGCTGCCTCCTGCATGGCCCCCCACTGGGGAGATGACACTTACACACTGGGCATGTGCCCTTGACTGGAATCGAACCTGGGATCCCTTAATCCGCAGGCCGACACTCTAGCCACTGAGCCAAACTGGTTTCGGCCAGACTGACACTCTTACCTCCTTTTTATATGGACCCATCTACCGTGTTTCCCCGAAAATAAGACATCCTCCGAAAATAAGACCTACTTACAGGTTTCCTTCTGAGTGAAATATAAGGCATCCCCCCGAAAATAAGCCTCTCCCCCCCCCCCCCGGGCTAAACATGAGAGATTTGGTCCACTGATTCTGGAAGGCAGCTATACTCACCACTATACCACCAACGCTGCATGGTCCACTGATTCTGAAAGAAATGGAGTCACAAGAAATTCACCAGGAAATTCAGGAATTGGATTGTTATGATGATGTTCCAGAAGATGATGACATGATTGTCACTGAATAAATGAGTAAATTCTTGATACTATAGGATTCACAGTTTGTCTGGTTTGTGTTGACAACTACCGTACTACCGCACCGTATACAGGTAATAAATTTCCTTTATTTTCATTTAACAATAAATGTGTACCATATTCTTCTTCATGGAAAAATAAGACATCCCCTGAAAATAAGACCTAGCGCACCTTTGGGAACAAAAATTAATATAAGACACTGTCTTATTTTCGGGGAAATAGGGTAGTTTTAGAGGGTCCACCCAGATAATCCAGGATAATCATCCATCTCCAGATCCTTAAGCTAATCATATCTGCAAAGTCTCCTTACCAGGTAAGAAACAGATTCATGGGTTCTGAATATTAGCAATTGGACACTCTGGGAGCCATTACTCAGCCTACCATAGAAAGCAGAGCAAATAGGAAAAAAGTGTTTGCCTCTTTTACACTTTAACTGCATGTTGGCATTTTGCAAGTTTGTAATTCTATTATTTTTTTGAATATTTTTTTGTATTGGTTTTACACAGAGAGGAATTGAGAGGGACAGAGAGTTAGAAACGTCGATGAGAAACACCGACCAGCTGCCTCTTGCACACCCCCCACTGGGGATGTGCCCACAACCAAGGTACATGCCCTTGACCGGAATCGAACCCTGGACCTTTCAGTCCGCAGGCCGACGCTCTATCCATTGAGCCAAACTGGTCCCGGATGTAATTCTATTTTAAGACCATTTTGGTTATCCGTTTTAACGGGCTTTTCTTCATAAAATGGTGGCAGCTGGTCTTTCTTCCAGGCCTGTGAATCTCTAACACCCGTTTTCCTCACAAATCAACACTCTGAAAGTAAAGCAACCAGAGACAATGGCATAACTCTTAAATGAACTCTGTGAGCTGATTGCCATGAAGACACACTTCATTATGGCCAAACTTTCCTATCTTCTTGCAGAACTAAATTTGCAAACAGATGAATAAGTTATGGGGCTGGAAATAGCTTTTCTGTTTTCTACAGTGAGGGGCCACTGAGCAAGATTTAGCAAATTGATCCTGGCTTAATTCTTGCAGACATTATGCCGCACAAGTTCTTGGATGCAGGTTATATAAATTTAGGATGGGCAAAAAGGAATATGCAACACCGATTGTCTTGTGCTCCCAATGATGTTACAGCCAGATATTGATATTTTCATGTCACTTCTCCTTGGAGAAAAGGGAAACAACCTGTGATTCATCCTGGTTTAAAAAATACAAAGGAGATTTTTTGCTTTCAGACATGATGGGGTAACAGGGGACAGACTTACCTTCTTGCCAAAATATTGAAAACCAGAGACACCCATTTATACCAAGTATATAGTGTAGCCCTGTGGCCCCTACAATTACCCCAGCTTATGTGCTGGAGGCAGTTTCCAGATGCATTGTGGGGAGGACCGACCCTTAGTGCTATCGGACTCTGAGTTCCTTATACATTTATTTTATTTGGTTTGTTTTAAATATATTTTATTGATTTTTAAAAATATATATTTTATTGATTTTTTTTTTTTTTTTTTTTTTTTTTTACAGAGATGAAGGGAGATAGAGAATCAGAAACATTGATGAGAGAGTCATTGATCAGCTACCTCTTGCACGTCCCCTACTGGGGATGTACCCGCAACCAAGGTACATGCTCTTGACCAGAATCGAACCCGAGACCCTTCAGTCCGCAGGCTGAAGCTCTATCCACTGAGCCAAACCGTTTTCGGCCTTATTGATTTTTTACAGAGAGGAAGGGAGAGGGATAGAAAGCCGGAAACATCCATCAGCTGCCTCCTGCACATCTCCTACTGGGGATGTGCCCACAACCAAGTTGCATGCCCTTGACCGGAATGGAACCCGGGCGGATGCTCTATCCACTGAGCCAAACCAGCCAGGGCCCTTATACAGTGATTTGCGTGAGTCAATGTATCGCTCCAACCGATAAAGAGTCCTCGGAGACAGAACTCGCGGGCGCCTGGCAACAGCCGCACCAATCCCCGGGGGCAGCCAAGTCGCGCGGGGAGCTCCGCAGCCGTGACGTCACCCTCACAGAGACCCTCGCGAGACCGGGGGGTGGGCGGCGCCATTCGCCGGTGGACACCGACTGCGCGGCTTCTGTGAGGAGAGCGCACGGTCACTGACGGTCGGTCTGGCCGCTACGAACACCAACATGAGCGGCCTAGCCGGGGCCGAGGGGGCCCTGTACCCCCAGACCTGCAGCCCCGGTGCTCCCGCCCCCGCCCCCGGACAGCCGGACCCAGACCAGAGCCCGAAGCTCCGTGAGGAAACCGAGGCGTCACAGGTGATGGCGGAGCCGGGGGAGGGAGGCTCGGAGGCCGTCGCCCTCCCGCCGGCCCAGCTGCCAGAGGAGGAGGAGGAGGAGGAGGAGGGAGCGTCACCCGACCCTGCGGCCGGTGGGGCCGGCGGCCGTACCCCCCCGGCCCCAGGCGGCGGGGGTGACGGTTTCCGAGCGCCTGAAGCGGAGCCGGAGCAGGCCCCGCCCCCCGCCGGGGCCCCGGCGGCCGAGCCGGTGTCCATGGCAACGGGCCGCGGCCCCAACAATGGCGGTCAGCGCGGCCCCGGGGCGGCGCAGGCCGCGGAAGCCTGTGGCGCAGAGAAGCCGGGGTCGGAGGCGGCGGCCGAGGCGAAGGCCGCGGAAGTGAACCCGGTCTTGGTAGCAGTGGCTGAGGCGATGGTGGAAAAGGAAGGCGTGAAGGAGGAGAAAGTGGATGAAGAAATGAAGGAGATGAAGGAGGAGAAAGGAGATGAAGTGAAGGAGGAGAAAGGAGATGAAGTGAAGGAGGAGAAAGGAGATGAAGAAGTGAAGGAGGAGAAGCCAGTAGGTGAGGAAATAGAAATGGCGGAGGAAAACCGGGCGGTGGCGGCGGTGGAGGAGGGGGCGGAGGGGGCAGGGCTGCCCCGGCCCCTGAATGTGAATTTCCGCGTGAACCTCCGCATGAACCCCCTGGAGGCCATCCAGCAGGAGCTGGACACGGTGAATGCTCAGGCCGACAGGGCCTTCCAGCAGCTGGAGCAGAAGTTTGGCCGGATGCGTCGGCACTACCTGGAGCGGAGGAATTACATCATTCAGAACATCCCGGGCTTCTGGGTCACCGCCTTCCGAAACCACCCCCAGCTGGCCCCCATGATCAGGGGCCAAGATGCCGAGATGCTGAGATACATCACCAATTTGGAAGTGAAGGAATTCAGGCACCCGAAAACCGGCTGCAAGTTCAAGTTCTTCTTCCGGAGAAACCCCTTCTTCAGAAACAAGCTGATTGTCAAGGAATACGAAGTCAGAGCCGGCCGAGTAGTGTCTCTCTCCACTCCAATCGTGTGGCGTCGTGGCCATGAGCCCCAGTCCTTCATTCGCAGAAACCAAGACGTCGTCTGCAATTTCTTCACCTGGTTTTCAGACCACAGCCTGCCGGAGTCTGACAAGATTGCCGAGATCATCAAAGAGGACCTGTGGCCGAATCCTCTGCAATACTACCTGCTGCGCGAAGGAGTCCGTAGAGCCAGACGTCGCCCACTGAGGGAACCAGTGGAGATCCCCAGGCCGTTTGGGTTCCAGTCTGGTTAAACTTGGTCCTTGGGACTACCTCTGCACAAGGTCCCCTGGCACTTCTTGCTGAAACTTGTGCTTGAGCAACAGAAATGGGTGGTATACCTTCTACTTTTTTCCCGCTGACATTTCTAAAACCTTCCCTCCTTCCCCCTGGACATTTGTTTTCTCAACAGCAAGATTGGGACCTTCATGGCTGTGCTTATCCACTTCTATACAGCCTGATTTTTTTCCACTTATATACAACCTTCATGCTGTTCTGCATCACTGTCACATCCTACAAGGCCATATTCACACTGCTGCTAAGTCAAGTCAATATGCTGTAAATTTCACTGCCTTTTTCTGCACTGCTTGGACTCTCTTTGTTTCCAGGGCCTCTGGTCTGGCTCTTACCATCTGGGATTCTAGCTTTTGTGTAGAGGCCTGCTCTACCCACTCTGTTCTGCAGGGCAAGCATACAGCCTATGGACTTTTGCAGAAAAGAAAACCACCAGAGACACTGAAGAGCAGCAGTGGTCCATTTGGTCTTCGTGATTCATGTGACTGCATTGCTCTCCTTGCACCTCTGGTCAGCTGTTGTTGCCTGCTTCTGGCTGTGCCCACTCCTCTTAGCCTGCTGCCTACTCGATGAACATCTTCCAGACCATTGTCAGCTCCTCTCATTTCTGGTAAACCGGAATCTTTAGAACTGGTGGTGGACCCAAGTTTCCTGCTAGCACAAATTTCCTTTCCAGCCTTTCCATTCCTCACCCTCTTTCACCTTGATCCTCGTCATCCAAGAGCCCTACTTCAGAGAAGTGGTTGAGGTGACAAGTTTAGACCTTGTCCTTATGACAAGTATAAGGATGGTGTCCAGGTTTTCTCAGTATCTAGTGAATTCACACAAAACTTCTGTACCTCTCTGTACCTCCTTTCCTCATTCTGATGTAATTAGCAGTACACTTTCTATGTGTCCCTTATCTCAAAATAAAAAACAACACTTAGAAACATCTGCAAAAGCAGATCTTGTAGTTAATTTGGCTCTCCAGGGATTTCCAGGGACACTTCAACTGGTTGTCTCCCCACATGCCCTGACCAACGAGGGCTGGGAATGAATCTGCAACCCAGGTATGCTTTCTTGACTGGGGATTGAACACCCAGTCCTTTGGTGTAGTGGATCAATGCTCTAACCACTGCACACACTGGCCAGGATTTTTTTTTTATGTTGTTAATCCTCACCCAACAATATTTTTTCCATTGATTTTGAGAGAGTTGGAGGGAGGAAGAGGGGTGTGAAAGAGAAATATCCATGTGAAAGAGAGATTGATTGGTTGCCTCCAGGGCCAGCATCAAACCTGCAACCCAGGTACATACCCTTGACCTTGACTAGGAATCAAATTGGCAACTGTACAGTGCTGGGCCAAGGCTCTAATCACTGAACTACACTGGCAAGGGTGAGAAGAGTTATTTAAAGAAATAAAACTTTTGATGTTTTTTCTATATTTTTTACTTAATTTATGGAGATACTTTTATTTCACTAATACTAAATAAAATCCTATTTTCTGTTTTGCTTACTAGGAAAATTGAGTTATGCAAGCTTTCTTTGCTTTTGTTTGGGAACATTTAGAAAAATAATCTTTCCATATATATATATATAGACTTAAGTGAATATTCATAATTGTTTTCAGACTTGTTCTTGTTTCTGTCAAAACTGCATTCTTAGTATATAAATAACTTGATTTTGTCAGATTATCAAGACTTTGGAAATTGTCTTCATAGAAAAATAACCTGTAAAAACAGTGTGGCTTGATTGTCTTGCTTGATAATTTGCCCTGCTAACAACTTATTAACAATTTAGCTTAAGTACTTGGAAGATTGCTCTGTCAAATTGGAAGTGTACCAATTACATTTATATTTACATATATGCATGTTGCTAAAATAAAAGTATGTTACTCAGTTAAGAGTTCTTATTTTTCACCCTGTTAACAGACATGCTTGAAGAAATTATTAGAGATAAAAGATTATGGAATTTAATAAAGTTCTTAAATGAACACAACAGGCATTATCCCAAAAGTAAAATAAAATATAGCACACTACCTTGAAAAGTAGGGAGGGATGTTCCTTTTGTTTACTTTAACATGTCAATAATTGTAACTGCTTATGTCAGTTTTTCCCCATACACTTTGTGCAGCACCCCCATTCCACTCCAACCTTCACTTCCTAAGAGCTTCCATTTTTGTCTATAGATAATAGTTTCAGGCTTGTTTTAGTCATTTGTGCATTTAATAAGCACACATTCAGAAAGTTCTTATAAGTGATATACTCTTCTATCCCATACTTTTTCAGCTGTAGAAACTTGTTTGTTCTTCAAACCTCACCACCTCTCTCTGTCAAATCCTTCAAGTTCTGTTATAAATAACTTCTGTTTTACACTTTTTCTGTTCCCCTTAAAATTAAACTTTTAAAAATATATATATATTTTAATTGATTTTTCACATAGAGGAAGGGAGAGGGATAGAGAGTTAGAAACATCGATGACAGAGAAACATTGATCAGCTGCCTCCTGCACTGGGGGTGTGCCTGCAACCAAGGTACGTGCCCTTGACCGGAATCGAACCTGGGACCTTTCAGTCTACAGGCCGACGCTCTATCCACTGAGCCAAACCGGTTTTGGCTGAAACTTTTTTATGTACTTGGTGCACTTTGTAGGACTCTCTGTTCTAGAAAATGACACAGTAATTCATTATGTTGAATTCCATGAACATTTGTTAAGGCATCTGTCAGGCCCCAGGAAGATAACAAGTGTAAGAAGAGAGAATGCATTCCATTTATTGTTAAAGAACTGGGGAAAGACTCGGGGAAACAAATAATTGACAGAGTGACAAAGATTTATTCACATGTTTTTCACTGTCCTTTTCTGGTTTGGAAGTTTTGTGAAAGCAGAGATAGAAAAAGATGTTTTTTACCTTCGTCACTACATCTAGCTTAATGTACATAGTTGTTACCAGATAAATACTGCATGATAAAATGAACAACTCAAATGGAGACAAGAAACAAAACCTAGTACCAAGCCAAACATGTCAAACTTGAGGCCTGCAGGCTGCACGTGGCTCACAAGGAATATTTTTGCAGCCCAGCCAATATAACGGTATGTAAGGAATGCTTTAATAAAAATTTGTAACTTAATTTTTACAATATACTACTATATATAACTAGAGGCCCGATGCACGAAATTCATGCAAGAGTAGGCCTTCCTTCCCCTAACTGCTGGCTTTCCTCTGGCACCTGAGACCCAGGCTTTCCTTGCAATCCCAGCTTCATCCAGAAGGACATCATGTCTAATTAGCATATTACGCTTTTATTATAAATTATTAATAACGAACTACAGTGTTTGCTAATGACTGATTAATCTTGTTGCATTCATTTCCCTAATGCCCCTTATATGCAGGTGGATCACTTCTCTCCGCTGATACTAGCAGCAAATATTTAAGCAGCCGATTGCCATGTCGTTTGCACTGACCGGTTTGGTGTGTGAAACAGGAAATACTTCGCTTTCAGAGAATAAGAAAAATAGGTTTATTTTTATTATGCTTATTGTGCAGTTATTCAGTGTCTGGTAAGTTAATGTTCAAGGAAAAATTTATATTAAAATGTTTTATGTTAACGATTACTCATTTATTTCAGTCCTTTGCATTCAGCTAAATAAAACTTTATTTAAATATCTAAATCTGTGTTTCCATGAGAAATGAAGCTTTTTTGGGGGGGGAGGCGGGGCCTCACATAAACTTTAACCTATTTTATTTGGCTTTATTAGCCTTTGAGTTTGACATGTGTATTAAATAAAAGCAAAAGTTAGAAAAAATCCAAACACTTAACATTTAACCTTTTCACTTGCCATCTTAACAGAGCATCAACTTTGGATCAACTTTTACGTGCTTTGTTTTTGTACATCTTCAGGTGACTATTCACTTGGAGATTGAAGTTCGTTACATTCTAGACATGTGCTGTCTAATACAGCAGCCATGAGCCATCGATGACTATAGAGCACTTTATGGCTAGTCCAAATTGAGATCTGATTTCTCATATTTAGCCATTTTTTAAATGTGTCTACTGGTAAATTTTAAATTACATGGGGGACAGCTGGGTCTAGACTTGAGTGTATCAAAGTATATAAAAAAAAAATCTAAAAATTAAACGTTATTCTTTCTCCCTATGAAATTTTTTGTGACTTTAGGACAAGGATTATCTAGTCTAATTCAAGTTGGGTAAAGTATAGAGTAAGGTGACCAGACCGTCCCGCTTTTGGCGGGACAGTCCAGAATTGGGACTTTTTAAAAACTCCGCAGTTTGAGTATGTGATTTGCTAGAGAAAACATCCGAGGAATGTAACCCCCTAATGAGATAGTTCTTCAAGAGCAATGACAATATCTATATTCCATTTAATCCTTAATATAGTATCTGATATATAAAATAATAATTGCTGTTGCAGCAATTAGCACATTAATTTTTAACAATCAAATATGCTTTAAGTGGTGGGCATTGAATTGACTTGATTCAATGCTAGATTCAGATTTATTTTTCTGTTGGCTAATTGCTAAAACTTGCAGCTCATGTAACACACACAAAATGGTATATTTAATGACTGAAATTATATTTTCTGAGCTTCATGTACATCTGTAAGCCAAAAAAGTACAGAATATTTTATTCTAGAAAAATTTGAAGCTATAAGTCTAAGTATTGCTAGAGACTTAACCAGTGTAATCATCAGTTCCAGTTTGGCACCCAGATCTACCTTACTTATATCCAGAAAAACAGTACATTTTGCAAGATATATTTTAGAACAAGATTATAAAAGGCATTTTATTTCATTATCCTTTTTTACCCACTGGCCTCTAGTTTAAGGTGACCAGAGGTGGTTAGGGGCAATCAAATCAGAGGGGAGCAGTTGGAGACAATCAGGCTGGCAGGCAGAAGCAGTTAGGGGCAATCAAGGAGGCAGGGAGAGGTTAGGAGCCAGCAGTTCTGGATTGTGAGAGGGATGTCCCGACTGCTGGTTAACCCACGAGAGGTCCCAGATTGGAGAGGGTGCAGGCTAAGCTGAAGGACACACACTCTGCCACCCTCCCATGCACGCACAAATTTTGTGCACTGGGCCTCTTAGTTTTAAATATTACTTCAAATATTTTAATTAAGGCATTTAATAGCGTTAGTGCCTGCAAACAGTTGATCATTTATTCTGTCCTGCAGTGAATTACCACAGAAGCCAATTTTGGTAAACATTTGCTGGCTTCATGCCCACCAGCATTATGAAGCAACAACTTTTTTAGATTAAGATAATAATCTGAGGATAAGCAACATAGAATATGCCTAATTTTAGAAATTAAAATCTCCCGAGATTACATTTCTTCCAGTAATGCTTAAAGGCCGAATTTGCACATTCGTGTGTGTCTAAGTCACCCCTAAATAAGGAAAATACAGTATCTTTCTACTTATACTGTGAAGAGGAAATATTGTCCAATTACTCCGTAGGTGTTGGCCAAAGTATATAAACTTTAAAAACTTAATTTTAATAAGTTGAAATTATCCTTTATGACGTCTTCTTGGGATGAGCAGGTTTCCCTTTCAGTTGCTCCTAATGACTTAAATGCTCACACTTCACACAGTAACACTTCACTTTTCTTACGCGTCAAAGTCTGTTCATCTCAATTCTTTGTAAGTAGCCATGAGTCTCTGCCTTAAAGAAGGAAGGCCTGGGCATTGCTAAAAATCCACTTTATACATGAGAAGCCCTGGAAGTTGACTTGAATATACAACAACGAAAGCCTTAGGAAATCCGCGTGAACCGAATTCGCCCATGCTGGAGTTTGCTGCATCGATTCACGAAAGCCAAACCTCTCCCAGACCGACGAAACTGAAAACGTTTTGTAACCTAAGGACAACGGACTACCCGGGATGGCCAGCTTCATCCCAGGGAGCAGTTGCTTCTCGCGCAATTGCGAGACGCTGCCGTCCTGACGTCACCGGTTGCCATGGCAACATCCTCCGGGATGCGGGCGAGAGAGGGGTGGCGCGAAGGGCGGAGCACCACTGCTGCAGCGGACGAGGCTCGCTCTCCTGCAGGTCTTCACTCCTTCCAAAATGAACGGTCCGGAGGAGGCCAGCAGCCCTTCCGCCGCTAAAACCTGCGGCCCCGCCACTCCCGACCCGGCCCCGGCACCCCCGGACCTAAGCCCGCGCCGGAGGAGCGAGGACGCCGCCGAGGCGCCGCGGGCGATGGCGACGGCGATGGCCATGGCGCCCACAGGTGAGGGCGAGGGCGGCCCGGAGAGCCCCGCGGAGGGGGGCGCATCCCCGGCCCCCGCGGCCTGCGGCCCCGAGCCCGGCGATCAGGTGGCGAGGGGTGGTGATGCGGCCGCCAAAACGGCCCCGGAGGAGGCTCTGCCCCCGGCGGAGGGGCCGGGCGCAGCCCCTGCCTCCCCCTCGGCGGCTGTGGCTGCCGACCAGAGCCAGGAAAATGGCTGTCCGCCGGGAGAGCCGCGCGGCCCAGCTGGGGAGAAAGCTCCAGAAGCCCGTGGCGCAGAGGGACCGGGGTCCCCGGCGATGCCTGGGGCCACGGCCGAGGACGGGGTGACCAAGAAGGGCGCCGGCTCAGCCTCAGCCGCGGTGGGAAAGGAGGGAGTGGCGGAGGCGGCGGCGAAGACATTGGCGCAGAAGGAGGAGAAGGTGGTGGGGGGAGGAGTGAAAGAGGAGGCGCGGGCTGGGAGCCCGAAGGCCAACCACTCCATGGACTCGCTGGAGGCCATCGACCAAGAGCTGCTAAACGTCAATGCCCAGGCGGACAGGGCCTTCCATCAGCTGGAGCGCAAGTTCGGCCGCATGCGGAGGCTCCACATGCAGCGCAGAAGTTTTATCATCCAGAACATTCCCGGTTTCTGGGTCATCGCCTTTGGGAACCACCCCCAGCTGTCACCTATGATCAGCGGCCAGGATGAAGAAATGATGAGGTACATGGTCAATCTGGAGGTGGAGGAGCTTAAGCACCCGAGAGCAGGCTGCAAATTCAAGTTCATCTTTCAGGGCAACCCCTACTTCCGAAATGACGCGCTCGTCAAGGAGTATGAGCGCAGGTCCTCTGGCCGCGTGGTGTCCCTCGCCACCCCGATCCGCTGGCACCCGGGCCAAGACCCCCAGACCCATAGCCACAGGAACCGGCAAGGGAACGCGATCCCCAGTTTCTTCAACTGGTTCTCAGACCACAGCCTCCTGGAATTCGACAGGATTGCTGAGATTATCAAAGGAGAACTGTGGTCCAATCCCCTCCAGTATTACCTGATGGGGGAAGGGCCCCGAAGATTTCGAGACCCAGGGAGGCAGCCAGTGGAGAGCCCCCGGGCCTTCAGGTTCCAGTCTGGCTAGCTCCTGGCCTGGGAGAAGCTCCTGCACCCCGTTTCTTGACCACCTCCTCTTGGATCCTGTGCTTAGCCAGTCGCATGCACGCTCCCGTCTGTTTTCTCTTCACCCTGGATTATTTTGTTCTTTAGTTCTTCTAAGTCTTCAATCAGTTGCAAGATTATGGCTTCTATGTCTGTGCTCATCTTCCTCTGGGCCTCCTTGCTGTTCTGCAAAGCATCACGTGATCCAAGTGCATGGCCTTGTATTGCTTTTGTGCCAAGCACAAGATGCCACGGATATGCACTGACTTCCTTTGCATGCCTTGGGCCCCGTCTGTGATGATGGTCTTTCCCCAGGTTCTCCAGGGGTTATCTGCCACACGTTAACTTGATATATAGCTTTGCAAATAACCAGCTGGGCTTCATACTTTATGCTGGCTGTGCTCCTACACCTGGTACTCTGTGGCAAGATCTTTTGAGCTTCACCCCTGCAAGATGAAGCTGATGTAGATGGTGCCAGCCATCAACACAAACTGGACATTCCAGGCTACCGCTAACTGGTTCCCTGCTGCCTTCCTGGGCGTATGCCATCCAACCTGCTGGTTATCTGGCAGAATAAGCAGGTGGCTGTGGGTAGCTGATGGTCTTGAACCAGGTAGCAGATGATAGGCATACTGTGTCATGTTGATCTTTTGCCTTTGGTCACTGTACTTTGACCAAGTTCTGGTGAGTATGAGCTGTGGCCTCCCATACCTGGTTTCAGTCTTTTGGATGTGCTTTGCCCACGTACCATAGCCTGCCTCTTCAGGAACTATCTGTGAACTGAAGCCCCCAGGCAGCACACAGGAACACCCCCCCCCCTTTCCCTAAACCCCTCCAATGGTTACCCATAAACCCACTGGCTGTCAGTGTGACAGTGCCCAAAGCAAGGCAACAACCTTTCTGAGTCCTGGCCAATAAACCCCCCTTAATCTAAGCAACTTGGTTAGGCATCCCCTTCCTTACCTATTCTAAGCATGATGAAGTTGCTAGGCTGGGGGCACTGAGGACCATGTATTGCTACCCCACTTCCTCCTACCCCCCTTCTCCCCCTCTTCCCTCAAGAAGCAATTACAGTTCAGAAACAAACAATACTAAAGCAGGGTTTTGGTTTCATTTGCTCTCCCCTTGATTGTATCCAGAGGGAGAAAGCTACTGTATAATAGATTCCCCAGGTCTCATTGCCCTATTCTGCCCTCATGCCTCCACCCACTTCCTTAAGCAAGATCTAAATGTTTCAAAGGGAGACTTATGGGTAAATTGTTTAGTTAGGCAGCGCTCTTTTGGACCAACTCTGACAATCTCATCCTTTCTCACGATTTACCAAAACCTCCTGTGTTTTTTAATCTTTAGTGTGAGAATCTGGGAGGAGAGACAGAAGCACTTCACAGAGATGGGTTCAAGACTCACCGCAGGTTGTGACTTAAAACAACCCAAAATTAGTTTGACTCTACTTTCCTAAAGATGGCAATTTTGGGGGGGGATGGGGAGGGGCTTTGGACAACTTAGAAATAACCCCAAAGCAGCATTTTGTGGGTCAACCCTGTGTTCTATACTATTATAGCCCTGATGTCTTAAGGGCCTCCATCTTACTGCCTGGCCCTTGGCTCTCAGTTCTCAGCTTCCTCTTTTCCTTCCCTGCTTCTGCCCTGACAAAAGAGGGAGCAGGCTGCTGTCTGCATTGTGGCAAATGCCAAGTCTTCCTCCTAGCGTGTAAGGATGTTTGTGGGCCCTCTGGATTTTCAGACAAGTTCTAGCTGGGGGGACAACAGTGTGTCAGGGCTGTGTTACTTCTGGAGGGGTGTGGTGGTGCTGATGACACCCACCCTCACCCTTTCTCCTTCCTTTGTGAAGGTTTGGCCATAAGCTACCCAGGGCTTGGGGAATCTGGGTACAGAGCAGTGGGGAGTATGCTCTCAACTGGAGAAACTGGAAGCCCAGAAACAAATGAGCCTGCTGTGGAGTGGCCTTGGGAAGGCAGGCAGGGAAGACGAACCCTGCAGGTTCAGGGGAGGGAGAGGCCCAAGGCTCTGCCCAGGAGATGTGGGGAAATTAAAGTGATTGTTTAAAGAGGATGCTTGGGAGAGGGTCTTCCCCCTAACTTTTCCTATATCCTCCAATTCACCAGATTTTTATACACACAAATGCAAGCCTAGATATTTCCTATTATTCTAAGAGTGAACTTTTATATGTGGAAGATCGATGGTATTTGCTTATTTCACTGTGATTGAGAGTAAAATTCTATTCCTTTCTCCATTTTTGCCTTGCTGTGAATTGAATCGACATTTACAGACCTGTGTTGTTTTTGTTTTTGCTTGTAATTGAGAATGTGTGCAAAAATATCAAACTTGTTTCCTGTGCAGAATGAAGACTTCTGTGAATATTATTAATATATCAGCTTGTTCTGGTCTATCTTCGTATATAGCTCTCTATCCTTAGAAGTAGAATTTGAATAATGTGAACTTTGAAAAGTCTGAAATTATGCAAATGTTGCTGTCTTGTGAAAGTAATCTCAAGAAGAAAAATGTAACCTTATTTGATATTTCTTGCCCTAGTAGTAATGTGGTACTTGATATTTTATGTTCCTAATCAGTGTAAGTGCTTGTAGAATTGCTCTGTCAAATTAAATAAGGGTCCTTTTGTCTTCATGTGCTCAAAGGAAAAGTAAAATCTGTGTCTGCTGTATTTCTTGTTTTCACCAAAATAAAAATTAATAAAGTTGTATGTTGTCTAGGTAAGCATTATTCTGAAGGTTAACAAAAGAGGCAACAACCACCAAACTTCCTAAGATCTTTTTTTGGCTTGGAAAATGGTAAATAGGCCAATTGCAGCTATATACTCATGGACATAATTTTCTTTCTGTACAACCAGTGATTCAACATGGTGATTCCTTTTAACAGGCACTTAGGAATGTATCCCCCTTCACTAATGTATTAAACTTTGTTAAGCTTTGATCTTTACCAAGAAACTACTAAGGTCAAAATACCAAGAAAGTAAAATTAAGGGTTTTTTTTGTTTGTTTTTGTTTTTTAACGAGTCTGAGAATAGACTTATATGGAACAAAAACCTGATTATCAAGCAATCTGTGCTGTTGTTAATTTAAGTAATAACCCAACTTCTCTATAGGCCCAGATATCCCCTATTCCATTAAGTTTCCTTGGACCAGTTTTCATTATTCCTTCTCCATTTTGGGTTCCTCAGCACAAGAGAGGGAAATTTGCTAAGTATTCAAGGTGAACATTTGAACTTGACTACAAAGAAAGAGTAAATCTGCTTATTGATGCCTTTAGCATCTTGTGGCTTGCAGAGCAAATTCTATTCCTGTGACTCTTGGTTCTCTATTTTACACTTCCAGGTAAGTTCTGTTTTAGTATTTTAAAGTTACATGTTATTTTAGGACAGAGCCCATGTCTTCATTTCTAATCCCTTACATGTCCCAGCATGATGATCATTAAGTTGAAATGTAGTTTTAGACAGACTAAGAATCAGTCTAAATCCAATGTTGGAAGAGTTAGCCAACCAACAAAGAGCGTGATTTTGAGGATCAAATTTAGGCTCATGTACAGAATCTGTTGCTTAGTAATCAAACAACTTTGAAGGAGCATATAATCTAATCTGAATTTTCATTTCCCCATCTGTAAATCAGTAATTATACTCCTTACATGGTTGCTGTGGGAAGTAAATAAGGTATATAAAATAGCATGGTAAGGTGTCAGCACACATTGATTGCTATTATATTTTTACTATATTTCTGAGGATGATTCTAGAGACCAAGAATTTACCTTTTTTTAAAAATATATACGGGTATTTTATTGATTTTTTTCAGAGAGGAAGGGAGAGAGAGAGAGAGCTAGAAACATCAATGAGAGAGAATCATTCATCAGCTGCCTCTTGCACACCCCTACTGGGGATGAGCCTGCAACCAAGGTACATGCCCTTGACCGGAATCGAACCTGGGACATTTCAGTCCACAGGCCGACGCTCTATCCACTGAGCCAAGCCAGTTTTGGCAGAATTTACCTTTTTGAAATTACCGTATATGAACTGGACCATACCCAAGGGTTTTTAAGGGAAGCGATTGGACCACACCAGGTGAGCACTCTCAAATATATCCCAGTCTTGCAGTGATCTAGTAGCCAACTCTATGATAATCTTGTTATCAAGCGCCTGAGAAGAGGTACGGAAATGCTACTGCAACATCCTATTTAAAGAAAAAAAATCTACTCATGTGATTCTAACAATCAGTTATATCCAAAGAGACAGATTTACATTCCATTTTTTGCTGGCTGGTTATATAAAATAACCAGGTTTTTTTTCTTCTTCATTCAAACAAGTTCACTAAAAGTATGTGTATACATATATAGTACATATATGTGCTTTAAATTGATGTAAAGTTCTTGTGGGATGTGAATTGAGTTTAACAAACTCAGCAGATGGTTTTAGATTGTAATTCTAGGTTCAGCTGAAGTTTCTGCTGCCTCAATATTCTAAATACCAAATTCTGAGTTGTTTGACCACTGTGTCATTCAGAGTTCTCTGCTAATGAGATCAAGTGGCCGGCAAAGGAATCCCCAGCTCCCTTGACCATTATTCTTTGGTACCTTTTAGATTATGAATGTTTGCCTGTATGCTAATATTAAACTTAAGTCTTCTGCCTAATTGCACAGTTTTCCTGCATTGTTAGTCATGACTTTATTAAGAAGATATAGCTTTTCTTTCTTAAGATTCTCTTTTTAATTTCTATAGTGCCATTTTTTGGATGATTTTTAAACCTTCTTGCCCAATTAAAAACATTGGCACTTTTTAAAAGTGAAATAAAAATTTTAAAAGTCTAATTACAGCCCAAAAGAAAAGTGGCATTCATTATTACCAATGACTGTCCCTGTTGTAAATTGGAAGACAACTTGGAAGTAAATGCTAACATCTTTTGACAAGATAGGGAAAACTGAGGTCAAATTAGGTGGTTAACTTGTTCAGATTCTTTAAGTAGATACTAGTAAAAGTAGGACTAGAACTTCTGACTTGATTGAATTTTTTCACTCCTCAGTGGCCCCAAAAGGACTATTAACTTGTTTTAAGACTAGAGGCTCAGTGCATGAAATTCGTGCACCGGGGTGGGGGTGGGGGAGGCAGGGTCGGACATCCCTCTCACAATCCTGGATAGCTGGCTCCTAATTGCTCACCTGCCTAACTGCCTGGTCGTCCCTAACTGCCCCTACCTGCCCCTACACCCCTACAGCTGGTCTACTCACCCCTCACTGTCCCCCTGACAGCTTAATCAGCCCAAATCCCCCTCCTCCCCCCTGCCCAGCCTGGTTGCCTCTTACTGCTCCCCCCTTGCTGGCCTGGTCGCCCAAAACTGCCCCCCCTTTGCCAGTCTGGTCGCCCCTAACTGCCCCCCCCACCTCCCCTCACCATGCAGTCTGCTTGTTCAATCGTTTGGTCATCCCTCACTAACCCCCCTGCTGGCCTGGTCGCTCCACGCAGCCATCTTGTGAGGGTGTGAGAGTTAATTTGTATATTACTTCTTTATTATATAGGATTCTATATTAGCAACAGTAGTTTATAAGCACTTAAAGATGTATTCTTTGCCATCTATAAAATAAATGTCTAAGGAAAAATAGCTTTATTTATTTATTTTTTTTTAAATCAAATGTGTACTGAAAGTATATATGAGACAGTATCTATTATTCAGCCGTAAGCTTGATTGTCATAGTCCAATGAGATTTTGGAAATAAAGTTCCAACACATTATTCTTACCAGTTGATATCAAAGAAAGCTAATGACTTTGAGGAAATAATTTCATAATTGTTTACCTACCCTGAGATACTCATCCCCACAATATATTTGGGGTTATTTTTGAGCATTTAAAATGCTTTAAATATCTTTCCATTGTATGCATTAATATGCTAAATTCTCTACTACAGTTCAAGTAAAATAATGATGGTGATGAGTGTTTTCTGTTATTGCTCATGCTGGACAGAGTGAAATTACAACATACAGAGTAGCCAGGATTGATATTGTAAACACCATCTGGCTCCAAATATCTTACAACAAACAGCTACTAATATGACTATGCACAGCACATAGAACACAACAATCTGGGATTGTCATATAACCATACACCCTCTTGAAGCAGTTTTTCTCAATCTTTCCCCCCCCCATTATCACTCCCCCTCTCCCAAGGAGAAAAATTAAATTTAACTCAAATTAAGTTTAATTAATAAATTTAACCTTATATTCCTTCTTAATGAGAAAAATACTAAGGAACAAGATTTTATTGGGTAATGCTGAGCTTTGAAGGGCTATATTCCATTTGCATTATCTTATTTTTTTTCACCCTAAGATCTATTTTCTTTCCCTTTTGAGAATACATGCTTTAAAGTGAATGAAAATGAATTAGCCTTTAACATTATTGGGGGGGAGGGGAGAGGGTGAACCCTAAGGATAACATTGGAGGCTGAAATAGTTGGTTTCTGGTATCATCTCTGTCCCATCCTGGCTGCATGGTATCAGAAGCAATCCTGTCTCTATTCCTAGCTTTGGAAAATAAAATAACAGCATAAAGCCTAGTAGCTTGGAGAAATCATTAATCTTGCTGGACTCAGTGTCTAGGTAAACTGAAGGAGGTGTAAATAAGTTTTCCCAATGCTGGGTGCATTTTCCTGGGGCATCTAAAAGATGTCAATGTTCATCTACATACCCAGACTAAATAAACCAATCTCTAGAAGTTAAGGCCCAGCCAGTGGGTCTCAAACTTGTGTGAGAATCAAAATATTATTAAACATAGATTGCTGGGTCCCATTTCCATAGCTCTAATTCTCTAGGTCTGGGTTGGGGCCTGCAAATTTGCATTTTATCATATTCTCAGGGGATGCTATGCTAGTGGTTAGAGACCACACTTTGAGAGCCACTGGTTTATACGTAGATGTAAATATGTGTGTGTATATGTGTCCCCAGGTGAATTATAATCTCAGGACTATTGGTATACACACTGTTAGCAAAGTACTTTTCAGTTCTAAGACACCGAGATTTTGACATAATGAGAGTTGTTGGACATCTGTAGAAAGAGGACCTATGGAAAAACATCAATTTCTTGATCAATTTTCATTAAGAATCTGTTCCTATAAAGCATTTTACAGTATTTGTTTTACAGTACATTTGCTGCATAGATGGTTCTTCACTTCAAATTTCAGTAAAGGTAAGTTATTTGTTTGTCAATGTTTCAAAGCTTGATAAGGCCAATGGAGGGTTTGGATAGTAGCCAGCTGTTTTTGAACCGTCTGAAGAGAATCTTGTAAATTTGTGGTCCAGGGGTAATTCTGGGAGGAAAAAAACCATATCATTTGATTATTCTGCAAGGTCTCAAAAGGCCTTTCATAAATATAAACATCAATATGTGATAATCATTGGTAATAAAACTTATTTTTTTAGAGTCTAATAAGTTTAATATTTCTTTTGTCACCTGGATAGGTTGTACCTAGGATGAAGAGTAAAGATGTCTTTCCCTATAAAATTTACAATATTGAGGTCAAATTACATTTAAAGATACTGTAAATCATCTTCAGAACTCAAACTAGTAAGTTTAATTTTCATACCCTCCATGCACAAAAGTTAATAAGTAAAATAAGGATGATCATCTCAATTTTTTAAATTTAAAAATCTCTCAGGCCCTACTCAGAGGATCAAGTAATTTGTAAAGGAAAACTAATCTTCATACTCCTTAAAAATAAAAGTTACTGCCGGCTGGCGTGGCTCAGTGGGTGAGCATCGACATATGAACCAGGAGGTCTTGAACCCAGGTTGTGCGGGCTGGAACCCCAGTGGGGGTGTGTGAGAATCAGCCAATCAATGATTTTCCCTCATCGATGTTTCTATTTCTCCCCTCCCTCTCTGAAATAAATTAAAATATATTAAAAATAAAATATTTTCCCCTTTACCTGCTATTGCTTCGATACTTGGAATTGCAATGGTGCTGTAAGTGCTGATTCTTTTACAGGACCACGTAGAAATCGAAGAGTCTTCTGTATTTTCCAGGCCCGAAATGGAATCAGTAAAAAAAGAGCCCCATTTTTTAGATAATGAATATAGAGGCTTTCCCTTTTGTCCCTAAAAACGAGAGGATAGAACAATAAAAACTGGTTAATGTTCAATCGCATTATAATTTCCCCTGCTAATTAATAAGATTAAAAATCAGAAGGGTTTGTTTCCCTTAACCAAACTATATGTTATTTAAAAAGTAAGTACCTTCCTCTGGCTTTGTCCGGGAATCCTTCTCATCCTGTGGGATAGGGCCTTTTCCAGCCCTTCTCATCCTTTGGGTTTGGGCCTTTCGCAGGATGTTTTCCTTGATCTCCTTCATGCAGACTGAATTAGGTCACTTCCTCCACTTTCCTACGTCCCGAGTTTATCCCTAACATACTACTTCTCATACTGCTTCAACCTTGACAGATCATGATTCTTAACTACATAAAGCTTAGAACTCATGTATTTATGTATCCCTAAGTCTTAGTGCCTAGGACAGAGCAGGCACATAAAAATTGCAGACTAAATTAAAGACCCATTCAAAAAATACTTCTCAGTGTTTTATGAATATGGCATAAAATTAAGGATTGAAAAAAATCCTATCTCATTCATATAATCTATATATATATATATAAAAGGCTAAGTGACTGACCACCTGTCTGTCCGACTGACTGGCCAGTACATATGATGCGCACTCGCAATTTAAAAATAAACTTAGACTCACACATGCACAATACATATAAAACTCTTGCTGGTGCCAATTGCATGCATTGTATCTGAAGACCAACTATCAGTACTTTGTTGTTTTTATATCATGTTTTTGTTATTTTTATATCATGTCTTTTTATATCATGTTATTATTTATTAATCAATTTATATATTATTTTCATATACATTTTCTTTCAGCTCTGACACTTCTACTCAGAGAAAGGATAAATAGCAATATTGAGATATTTTATATTAATTAATTTTATACTATATTATATATATTATTTTGACATGTAATATTTACAGTAACGTAATTACCACACGAATCTTTCTTCTAATTAATTTCATTTCAATGTGCACGAATCCATACACCAGGACACTAGTCTGAATTATAAAATCTGTCATGCTCTTCTGGTGAAAATTTCATTTTGGAGCACACAGTGCCCCTAATGTCCTTTTAGATTCACAATTCTTTGTGCTGGAACTCGCTTTGTGAAGCAAATGAGAATGTATGTTTGCAGATGATGGTGTTTGGAAATCATTTACCAAGAGCCTATTTGGGTTTCACCAAAGAGCAGTATTGAAATATGAATATCCAAACTTGTATGTGTACATCTAAGGTGTATTTCAATATAACTTCTCAATGTCTAAATAGCAGTTTATCGGATAAATTTGATTAATTATTTTTCCTAAAATAATGAGTCTGAAAAAAATATGGCTCGCATCACACATATATAGAAAATGGTCCCGCAAGTGAGTGACAGAATCTAGGCTCCTCCCTATTCTTATAAAGACTTAGGGATACATAAATACATAAGTTCATAAAGAGAGGAAAATAGATCTATCTACCCTTCCTGGTCCAATGTAATCTGGATGCTTATATTCTAAATGTTTATATTCTCCCAGGTTGAAATTTTAACCTCCAAAGTGATATTAGGAGGTGGGGAGGTGTCTGGAGCCCTCTGAGTGGCTTAGTGCCCTTCTACCAAGTTCACTCTGGGGGCTCAGGAATAAGTCTCAAGGAGCTGCCTTTTGAGTTCAGCTAGACCCACAAAGCGAGCACCAGAGCTTCCAGGGCCAAGCAAAAGAGACATTGTCACTACTGTGAGTCAGGATCTTGCAGCCTCGGCACCAACCAAAACATCCCCGGCGCCGGGCTGGATGAAAGCAGTGGGCAGGGAACACAGACTGACCTGCGTTTAACAGCCACAGGTCAATTATAGAGCCGAGACGGCAAGACCACAACCACTGCCACAGAGTTCACCTCTCTGGGCACCAACAAGCGAAGGGGAGCCCTTACCTCATACTTCCCTTTCTTCTCCAGGGGCTCTGCTTCCTCAGGCTTCCAGTCTCTGTCCCCCTTGAGCTCCTCCAGGATGAGGACTGTCTCCCAGTTGCTATAATGGCGGGCTGGGAAAATATCCGAATGCATGCTGTCGCCAAAGTACACGACCTGTAAGTCAGACAGCAAGTTCTGGGTGAGGCATCCCAACTGTGCAAGCATGGCCCCTGTTCCACGGAAGCCGAAAAAATTCCTCTGAAAGCTGCATACACCTCTTAAATTGCCTTCAGCTTTCCAGGTGACCTTCGACGTGGCCCATTTGGTGCCAGGTTTAATTTAAGAAGTTACCTAATGCACGTGCAGGTAGAAGAAAGGCAGAAAATAAGTAATTTTGTTCAATTTTGCTGAAGCAGCAGGAGTCCATACGTTTACATGAAACTTGCCCCTAGCACTGAGGAATGGGGAGGGTTCGCGGTGACCTGGCACAGTGGGTTAGGTTAGCAGGAGCGCACTTCACAACCACTCTCCCGGAGCCTACCCCGGCTCCCTCTGGACCTGCTGAAACGGAACCCCTGAGAATGGGGCTGGGCGAGGGGTCCCTGGGGAGCGCCCGGGCTACTCCAAGACTAGACAGACAGCCACTGATCTGGTCCACACGCTTTTCACAGACGAGAAACCGCGGTTAAGAGAATATGAAGTACAACCGCCAAGTCAGACGCACTGTCCACTAACCCCCTCGGGAGGTCCCAGGGAATTTGGCATCCTGGGAGCCGATGGAGCAGGGCTGTTACCCACGGCTCTCCCCTGCTCGCAGGGCTCCTGGCAAAAGATGAAAGGTCCTGCTGCTGAAAATGCACCCATGTCCAACATCGACCATGTGACCAGGGTGTCAAAAGCCAGCGTGTCCTTAGGCTAGTCTGTCCTGTAATTTCAGTTACTGTATTTTCCGGCGTATAAGACGACCCCCTAATTTTTACAGTTAAAACATAGGTTTAGGCCTCTATTCGCTGTATAAGACTACCCCCCACTTCCGAGGCAACACCAGTTCTTTTTTTAATAGACCGCCTCTCTGACTCTGGCCAATCTGAGCAGGCTTTTTACTAGAACACAGTGTAGCTTCGGGTACAGATCATGTATAATTTGCATGCATAAAAAGCCTGCTTGGGAACAGAAAGCCATAAACACATCCAGTGCATTACAACCCATTTCAAGAGAGAAGCGAGCAAGCGGAAGAGAGTGGTCTCAGCTGCTTTGGGACATACTGTATTTTCCGGCGTATAAGACGACTACTGTGTTCTAGTAAAAAAGCCTGCTCAGATTGGCCAGAGTCAGAGAGGCGGTCTATTAAAAAAAGAACTGGTGTTGCCTCAGAAGTAGGCCCATATACAGTGAATATAGACCTAAACCTATGTTTTAACTGTAAAATTAGGAGGTCGTCTTTTTTTTTTTTTTAAATATATTTTATTGATTTTGTACAGAGAGGAAGGGAGGAGATAGAGAGCTAGAAACATCGATGAGAGAGTCATCGATCAACTGCCTCTTGCATACCCCCTACTGGGGATGTGCCCGCAACCAAGGTACATGCCCTTGACCGGAATCGAACCTGGGTCCCTTAAGTCCCCAAGCCAACGCTCTATCCATTGAGCCAAACCAGTCTCGGCTAGAGGGTCGTCTTATACGCCAGAAAATATGGTACTGCTTATCCTATATAATAAAGAGCTAATATGCTAATTAGACTGAACAGCAGAATGACCGTGCAGACAACCTTCCAGGCGAAGCTGAGGCTGTGAGGGCCGAGCCCCTTGCGTGAATTTTGTGCATCGGGACTCTAGTTTTACATATAAAACCTTTTGGGATTGTTATCAGGATGGCACTCCTCAGGCATCCCACACCAGTCCGGTGCATCCCCTCCATCTGTGGCCCCTTGCTTGGAATATTTCCTACACTCCGAGACAGATAAAAGTCCTGGTCTACCTCATCAAAAAGCTTATGTAAACAGAAGAGGTGAGAGAAGAGGTTGGTAGATAAGCAAAGGCAGATTATTTCCCCACAGATAACTAAGCTAAATGCATTAAGAATCATGATTTTAGCCCAGCCGGCATGACTCAGTGGTTGAGCGTCGACCAATGAACCAGGAGGTCACAGTTCAATGCCTGGTCAGGGCACGTGCCAAGGTTGCAGGCTCAATCCCCAGGTGGGATATGCAGGAGGCAACCGATCAATGGTTCTTTCTCATCATTCATGTTTCTTTCTCTCTCTCCCCCTCTCCCTTCCTCTCTGAAATCAATACAATATATATTTTTTTAAAATGCATCACTTTTTAGTTTATAAAAGTTTATGTCTGTAGGTGGGCACCAAGGACCCCACCTCAGGGAGAAAATACCTTGGGTTCAGGTTTGCCGGTCATTTTCTTCAGCAGTTCATACAGGTGGACAGCGTTCCCCTGGGAGTACCAGCCAGGTTTATCCAGAGACGGCAGTGCTTCCTGCTCCTCGTCGTTCTCTGAAAAAACAATGTGATGGTCATATCCTTTTCAGTCAAGTGAGAGCACCCTGCTGGGCACACCACACTCAGGCACAGCTGCAGGACATGCATCAGACAGAACCACCGGGGGCAGGAGCACCTACTACTACCAGCACTTCCCAAACACATAAATAGTCATCCTTGTGTGTGTAAAACTCTAATAAAAAAAATCCGTGGAATGGAATAAGTATAGCTATAGGACAAGTATAAATTGGAACAAACCCTGAAGATGAAGATTTATTGAGTACTTAGTTATGTATTATAAGTTTGTGAAGAGGGGAAAATAGTTAATTCTTTTCTAGTTTAATACAAAGAGGATTATCTGACTCATAACAGATTCTGTCTTAAAATCAAGGATCTATTATAAGACATTAAACCCACATATAAAACCATCATTAATCTCTTCCTTTCTACCTGGCCAGGGTTTCTTAACCTGACACTACTGAGATGTGGGACCAGATGACTCCTTGCTTGTGGTAGTGGAGGTGCTGTCCTGTGAGTTGGAGGCTGTTTCGCAGCATCCCTGGCTTCTACCCACGAGATACCCAGTAGCATCCTGTCTCCCAAGCTGTGGCTCTTCAGATGTTGCCAGATTTGCCCTGAGGAACAGAAGTCTCACAGGCAAAAACCGCTATCCTAGACCAGTGGTCGGCAAACTGCGGTTCGCAAGCCACATGCCCAAACCCCTTCCCTCAGCGTATGAATCTGCCTGTCTCCCTAACTTCACCCCTCTCCCTTCTCATCCCCCAACCCCTGTGGCCAGAACCACAGGCCTCTTCTCTGTCACTGGAACTCAGCCAGACTTGTCCCACACTGGGCCGCTGCATGAGTCTGTCCCACTGCCAAGAACACCGGTCCTCTGCTCTCTTCACGACTCACCCGTCAGGTCCCTCCCTACAGTCACCTTGCCTGACCTGTTCAGACAGGCCTTCCCTGGCCAGTTGTGCAAGGTGGCCTTCTCAGGCGGCCCCTTCCTTCACAACCTGCAGCACGACCTCCGGGGTTTCGTTTGTTTATGCCTCTGTCTGGTCACCGAGGACCTCTCAGTGGCCGACACCCCGCACTCTGAACTGAACCTGGATCCCACCGTTTCTGGTTCTCAGCGAGCAGAGAACCAACCTACTGCCAATGCCGTGCACCGAATAGGGCCTTTAAGTATAATAGTACAAAAAAAGTACTAAGGTAAAAATATTGCATTGCTCTATCTTTATTTTTCCTTTTGTTTATAAAATGGTGGTAATAGTTCACACATGGTTTTACCTTTGTTTTTCACCTACACGGCTGTTAGCCATCAGATTATTTACTGAACAAATGAATGAACAAATCTTAAACAGGAGAAGAAATAAACCAAAACGTGCGGAAATCAGTTTGGCTCAGTGGATAGAGCGTCAACCTGCAGGCTGAAAGGTCCCAGGTTCGATTCTGGTCAAGGGCATGGACCTTGGTTGCGGGCACATCCCCAGTGGGGGGTGTGCAGGAGGCAGCTGGTTGATGTTTCTCTCTCATCGATGTTTCTAGCTCTCCCTCTCCCTTCCTCTCTGTAAAAAATCAATAAGATATATTAAAAAAAAAAAAAAGAAAGAAAGAAAGAAAGAAACCAAAATGTAACTTACCGAGTGTCCGGAAAGGCCTCTGACTTGGTAAATGGGAGAAGAAACCAGGCTTCAATGCATTTGTAATCACAATGTCAAAAAGATCGGCAAAATCATTCCTGAAAAGCAACAGAATTTTGAAGTATTTATTTTAAGGAATTAGAAACTGTCTATATAAAAATGAACGTAATCTGCCAAAACTGGTTTGGCTCAAGGGATAGAGCGTCAGCTTGGGGACTGAAAGGTCCCGGGTTCGATTCTGGTCAAGGGCATGTACCTTGGTTGCGGGCATATCCCCAGTAGGGGGTGTGCAAGAGGCAGCTGATCAATGACTCTCTTATCGATGTTTCTAACTATCTCTCTCCCTTCCTCTCTTTACAAAATCAATAAAATATATTTTAAAAAAATGAACGTAATCTTCACCTATCTACTTGACCACACCATGATTTCTTACCTTTTGATTAACTTTTTAGATGCTTTCTATACATTTTAAGGCCAATCTTACACTGGAAATAAAGGGTGATTTAGCAGTAGTATTCCTGTACAACACCTTGATATAAACATAAGAATGAGCACATTGACACTGGGTGCTAAGCTTTCTCATACTGGTCACAGTCACGGAAAGTGAATTCAATAGTTTCTAATAGCTAGAAACATTCAAAGCTATGTTCAAAATGTGAAGAAGATACTTTATTTTGAAAATCAGTATAGTCTTATAATGTTATTTAGATAACAATCATTGTTTTCAGTCTATTTAATACTATATTTGGGATTATTTGAAAAGGCAAAGGAATGGTAGTTCTTGCTTTTGGGGGACTCCATGTTGCACTGGGGAGACAATATTTATCCAACATTCCCAAATACTTTTTTTTTTTTTTTTTTTTTTTTTTTTTTTTTTTTTTTTTTTTTTTTTTAAATATTTTATTGATTTTATACAGAGAGGAAGAGAGAGAGATAGAGAGTTAGAAACATCGATGAGAGAGAATCATCGATCAGCTGCCTCTTGCACACCCCCTACTGAGGATATGCCCGCAACCAAGGTACATGCCCTTGACCGGAATCGAACCCGGGACCCTTCAGTCCCCAAGCCGACGCTCTATCCATTGAGCCAAACCGGTGCCGGCCCCAAATACTTTTTTAAAATATATGTATTTTTTATTGATTTTTTTACAGAGAGGAAGAGAGAGGGATAGAGAGTTAGAAACATCTCTCTCTCATCGATTCTCTCTCATCGATCAGCTGCCTCTTTCACACCCACCACTGGGGATGTGCCCATAATCCAGGTACATGCCCTTGACAGAAATCGAACCTGGGACCCCTCAGTCTGCAGGCCAACACTATCCACTGGGCCAAACTGGTTTCAGCCCAAGTACTTTTTGGAAACCACTGAAAGTTGCTGGGGAAGGCACGAGGCACATGTGTTCCATTCAGATCATCAGCAAGCCATGAGCACACTAAACCCTGGGAGAGTTGCTTGCTAGAATGTACTTGAGTGTGCTATGGATGTTGAGAGATGTTATGAGCAATGAACATTTGCCACTCAGCGTTGTTTAGTGTACTGATAAGGTTGCGATGGAGCACATTTGAAAATGCATTGGCCCAATTCGCTACCAGTATTTTATAAGACCATGTAAAGAGAATGTCTCATCACTTACCCCAGGATATGGTTGCAGAGAAGCCTGCAGTAGTCACTGTGAGAACTGGTGATTAACACAAGAATCTTCCCAGCATTCTTTAGCCGTCGAAGCCATGTCTTTACAGACTCGGGACAACTGTGTAAATACTTGCCGGGGTCTCTTTTTATTTCTGGGAAATATAGTCCACAGTTTTCTGAAAAAAAAAAAAAAATCAAGGATATTTCTATTTTTTTGACTCAGCATGTTAATTTCTCTCAAAACTATAAATAAAACAATACGGCAGTTACTACTGTTTCTTAAGAATACTTTGTTACTTAAAAACATAATGATGGTTGAAAATGTCAGTTGAGAATATTTTTGGCTCCTTCAGAAGAACTGATAAACTGGTAAGACATAAAGAATTTAATCAGCATTCTCAAATCAGAAAACCTTACTGCATTTGAAAATATCAACTGATATTTTTTCCTTACCTCTACTAATACATGTGTCTAGTGCCCTCTAGTGACCAAAATGTAAGTTACTATTAAAATGTTACTGTCCCATTTCCAAATGAATATTTTAAAAACAGCATAGAATTCTGTATCTTAAAATTATTGGCTAGATTAATTAGTATCCCTTAATAAGCCTAATGGAAAGTATGCAATCATAACAGTTTAGTTGAGAAAACTACTCTGAGATAATAATGGGAATTGCTTATTTTGTTCACAAGCAGATTGAAATGAATGAACTAGACAAACGCTGTAAAGATACCTATTGGTGCATTATGGGTTGCTCCTACTATAAAAGATCATTGACTGTTTCTGGGGAAAATACATCCATCTCCTTGAAACTTTAAAGAATTGAATAGGCGCTATATTATACAAAGATATCAATTTTTTCCCTAAAATTTATTTTTATTAATTGGCATATAACATGCAAGTTTAAGGTGCACAACATGTTGACTTGCTACATTTATATATTGCAATATGATTGTCACCTCAGGTTAGCTAACACCTCTATCATGTTATATATTTACTAGAGGCCTGATGCATGAAAATTCGTGTAAGAGTAGGCCTTCCTTCCCCCGGCTGCCACCACTGGCTTCCCTCCAGCACCCAGGACCCAGGCTGGCTTTCTTCCAGCCCCAGCTTCATCAGGAAGAACGTCCGGAATGACATCCAGAAGACACCTGGTCTAATTAGCATATTATCCTTCTATTATTATAGATTTTGTGACGGAAACAAGATCTAGTCTTTTAGCAATTTTTTAAGTTCACAACACAGTGTTGTTGTCTATAATATCCTCATCTTTATACTGAACTAAATCAAGCTGTTGAACCAACAGAAGAGTTAGGTTAATCATACTATAATTAAATTATCTCCCCAAAGAGATGGTAAAATTCTAAGGGGTGTGTGTCTGTCTTTCTTCTTGGCACAGAGCAGGCATTCAGTGAATACCTAACTTAGTGCAGGGATATTTATGTTTATTTACATTCAAAGGAATAGTAGTATGATTTGCAACATATAACCTGTGAAGACAAAAACATTGCCCTAGCAAAGTCATCCTATCTAAAGTACCTTCTTTTTTTTTTTTAATCCCATATTAAAAACACGTCATGTTTAATTATATTATGATACTGCTAGATTAACACCGACAGCACAAGACAGGGAATTTTGACCTAAGGTGGAAAGAAAGGAATGGTTTTGTTTGTTTTCAACTCACAAAGTACTCCGTGTTTTCAGTTAACCTCAAATGGAATTCTATTTCACTGCCATTTTATGTAACTCGTTTTCCTGGCCTTTCCACCCCTCTAATATCCTTAGATGCTGATATTTTCTGCGAACAGATGGGATTAAAAGTAAAACTTAAAAATATTTTTATTTATTGACGAGAGAGAGAGAGAGAGAGAGAGAGAGAGAGAGAGAGAGAGAGAGAGAGAAGAAGAAGAAGAAGAAGAAGAAGAAGAGAAGAGAAGAGAAGAGAAGAGAAGAGAAGAGAAGAGAAGAGAGAAGAGAAGAGAAAGAAGAGAAGAGAAGAGAAGAGAAGAGAAGAGAAGAGAAGAGAAGAGAAGAGAAGAGAAGAGAAGAGAAGAGAAGAGAAGAGAAGAGAAGAGAAGAGAGATGGAATTCTGTTCTACTTATTTATGCATTCATTGGTTATATGTGCCCTGATTGGGGATCGAAACCCCACAGCCTTGGCATATTAGGATAAGGCTCTGACCAACTGAGCTAACCAGATAGGGCCAAAAGTAAAAATTTTAAAAAGCTAGTTCTAAAGAATAAAAGTTTAACTCTCCTACATTAAAAAACTGATTAATATGGAGTCATGGAAATAGACAGCAAAATGTTGCAGCAATCTGATCCGCACATAAAATGGCCTGCACATATCAAACATAATTTTGGGTTTAGATATCTCTTTTGATTAAAAAAAATTAAAAAGTACAACTTGAATATTAAAAATACCTTTTAGCCGGGACCGGTTTGGCTCAGTGGATAGAGCGTCGGCCTGCAGACTGAAAGGTCCCGGGTTCGATTCCGGGGAAGGGCATGTACCTTGGTTGCAGGCACATCCCCAGTAGAGGGTGTGCAAGAGGCAGCTAATCGATGATTCTCTCTCATCGATGTTTCTAACTCTCTATCCCTTTCTCCTCCTCTCTGTGAAAAATTAATAAAATATATTTAAAAAAAAACTTTTAATGTAACAGACATTTGTGCCATATAACTATATCATCACAGAATAAGTAACCATTTTCCCTTATTAACTGTATCACTACTATTTGTGTGATCTATGGCTGGAGCTATGAACTAAATGTATTTGCTGTAAGGAACAATATTTATGAAATATACAACTTTTTTCTTGGCCAGGAGATACTGAAATATGTTTAGAAGGATAAAAGAAATAAACTATAGATTAAGTGTGTTCTGAATTTCTTTGATTTACTTATAGGAGGCAAAAGATAAAACTGAAATTTAACATTTAAACAAATATTTTCTATTTATGATCCCTATATGGTTTGTTTTAATATACTATATGTATAAATGAAGAAATCTAGAATACCTAGATTGAGTAAAGTAGAAGAAACAATTATTGTGAAGATTTGACAAAACAAAGGGTTTTTGCTAAGGTAGCAAGTTAATGGAGAAGTAACAACGCCTGTTTCCTTTCTTGGCCGTGAATGCCTATCTCTGGCGATAATTCTATCCTCTTGGGACAGGGAGAATACCTTCACATGGGAGATTACTTCCTGCTTTTGGGGAACAAGGACAGTCACAGTGTTCTTGCACTGGCTGCTTCTCAAGTAACTGTAATTCAAGATAATAAGTCAAAATGACATGTTTGGGTCTGCCTTCTCCGAACCCCATCATCTCTGAAGAATAACTCAAAGGTTTCTATCATGTACACATTTACAGAATGCAAAAACATATATAGCTTATGTTCAGTGTCATAGCTGAACAATTCCAAACATTTTAATGGTTTTAATTTAATATTGAATTTTATAAATGGATTATTTATAACTAGAGACCCGATGCACAAAATTTGTGCACTCGGGGTCAAGGGGAGGTGTCTCTCAGTCCGGCCTGTGCCCTCTCGCAGTCCAGGACCCCTCAGAGGATGTCCAACTGATGGCAGTCGGACTTCCTTAGCGCTGCCACAGAGGTGGTAGAGGCTCCCGCCACCGCCGCTGCACTGGCCAGTTATGCGCCTGGCTTCTGGCTGAGCGGCACTCCCCCAGTGGGAGTGCACTGACAACCAGGGGGCAGCTCCTGCGTTGAGTGTCTGCCCCTGGTGGTCAGTGCATGTCATAGTGAGTGGTTGAGTGGCCTTAGCATAAAATTAACATAGTTACGCTTTGATTGGTTGAACAGCTGACCGAACATTAGCATATTAGGCTTTTATTATATAGTTATCTTAACTTGTAATAATAACTGACATACTTTGATTACTTTTGCCAAACACAACTTTAAGATTATTAATGTATTTACTTATAACAACCATGTGAGACAGGTCCGATAGCGTTTCCATTTTGCAGATGAGGAAACTGGGTTATAGAGAGGCTAGGGAATGTGCCCAAGTCACAGAGCTAGAATGTAGCCAGCCTGCCTCTCTGGGGATATGGCATGTGAGTACTCTGTAACTCCAAGAATACCATAAATTCTTACTTTTTTTTTTCTTGGATGGTATCATAGTTCAGAGGCTATGGGGTTGATTGGAACTTGAATAAGTGGGATTTGGCAATATGAACAAATCAAATTAGATTTCTGCAGAGGAAAAAAGTAGCTATTAATAAGAAATCTGTCTAATTATAGTCACAGCATCTAGAACTGGAAGGGGCCTTAGAAATCATCTACTTCAAACCTGTCCTGTTAAAGACAAATTAACAGAGACCACAGATTTTGCTTAAAACGACAGTTGGTAACAAGCTTCGGAAAGGAACAGAGGGCTCAAGAATCCTAGTCCACTAAACCTTATGTAACCATATCACTTCTGTGTCTAAATCTATGGGTTTTATATATATATATTTTTTTTAATTGATTTTTTACATATAGGAAGGGAGAGAGATAGAGAGCTAGAAACGTCGATGAGAGAGAAACATCGACCAGCTGCCTCTTGCACACCCTCCACCGGGGATGCACCCGCAACCAAGGTACATGCCCTTGACAGGAATCGAACCCGGGACCTTTCAGTCCGCAGGCCGATGCTCTACCACTGAGCCAAACCGGTTTCGGCTAAATCTATGGGTTTTAGGTCTAAGTTACCTGGTGATCCAGTATCTGTTAAAGAAAAACAACGTTTTCATAAGTCAAATGCTTCAAATGGCATGCGTGCTTTGCTCTGTAATTACTGAATTATGTGCTCTTCCTCAGAATTTCTAGACATTCTTCGTGGCCAATGGACTGATGTTATCCATGCTATTATCTGGGAACTGAGACCTTATATTGAGATGGGGGAAAACCCCCTCAAATACATGTCTTACATTAAGGAAAAGATAAATATATTCTTGGAAGGCTCTGTCCTTGCTTTGCTGCTTAGGAATGTTTGCAATTCATCACAGGGCTGTTCTCTGGGGAGGCCCCCCCTCTCCTCCATCCGGGCCACCTCTGGAAATCAGTGCACTACAAGGCACTAAGTACATGCAGTGAGCGTGTTTATGTATTTTTTCTTTCTCCTGAGACTGTGAGATCTGTTAGAAAAGGAACTGTCTTTATATTCATA